TATATATCTATATATATATTTATATTTCAACGTTGACAGCAATAATTGCAGACAACGGATACGGAAATCTGCTAAAAAGACAGAAAAAGAGAAAGTCAAGCCGTTACCGCCATCTATCGGATTAATCGCGAATAAAAAGGTGGCGCTACAAGTTACGCTAATTTCTTTCTTTATGTCTATTTAAATAAAGAAAACACCGCATTACTCTCATTCTCTTTTATGAACAATTTTATTGAACAGTTTGAATAAGGATGTTTTAGTAAGTCCTCAAAACAAGCAGCTTTAGAATACTTGTTCAATCAGTTTATTTGTAAAAAGCAACAGCAATGACACACGCTAAATAATACAACAATTCATTTAAGTATATAGAGAGCACACATGACAACACTTTCATTGTAGCATTTTTTAAAAACTATATCTCTTACACATACAATTGTTTTTTTTTCATGATAGAGATTCACGCACAGCACCTCGAGCACAACAATCAATGTATTTTTATGTCATTCGTCTTTACTTTTCTGTTTTTTTTTAACTGGAAAGAATTTCATTCAATAGATAACGGAACACATGAAATATATACGTCATGTATAAGTCTTTCAATTCAGGGCGACATGTATATAATTACGTTCTTCGAAGCTAGAATAGCATAGTTTAATAATACGAGCTCGCACGGAGGTAGTGAATACTTGTAAAAAAAAAAAAGAAAAAAAAATAATAAAAAACAAAAAAACAAAAAAACGAAAAAAAAAGGACAAAAAAGCTTGCAAGATGGCTGTGTGTACTTTATAAAACGGGAATACTATATTTAGAATCGACGTGTGACCGAGAATGGACAACAACAAAAAACTTTTTTTTTTAATAGAAAAAGAAAACAATACTCATCAAAAATAAAATTAATTAATTAATTAATTAATTATATTAATAAATAAATAAATAAATTAGCTAAATTATAATAAATTAAAATCTTTGGGAAAAAAAATGAGCACAAAATAGTTCTTTTTTTTTCTTGTTAGGACAAAGAGCTTAAGAATAACAAAGTACATACCGTATAAACAAGAATATACACATCCATACACACGCACATCTATATGTGTATGCATAGATGTATATATTTAGTACATGTATATTGTTTCAATATGAATATATATATATATATATATATATATATGTATATAGGATATATATATATATATATATATATATGTATATACATAAATACACATAAATACACTTGTTAAAATGTACATTATATTTATATATAGACAGATGATGGGAGAGACTAGTTGATTTACGTAATATTCATACGGTATAACAATTCGTTGACTAGACCGTTTTCTCATGTACATAGGAAAAAGTCGTATATAATACGTAAGCATTTTAGAGACGCGAAGGGTTAGCGTGGCCGGCAGTTTTTACTCATAAATAATTTATAAACGAAGCAATGTAGACGCTAAAGTCATAACGACTTAAGGGGCGGAAAGATAGACCGTTTTTGCGCGTTGAACGTCGTCAATCGCTTCCGGGCGGGCGCACAAAGGAACGTCTAAGAGAAGACGGTACCAGACTAAAAGTAAATAACAATCAAAGTTTGCGCAGCCGAAGCGTCCGATTGTCATTGACGTTTCGCATGATTGAGCACGTACAAACTTGAAATAAACTTTCTTTGTTTGCTCACAATTTCTGGCAAGTTTATTTTCTCAGGCGTGTCAACTTTTGGCAAGTGATAAACGAGTTTTTTAGCGTTTTTTTGTTTTTAAAATAGAAAAATACAAATAAAAAACCCCCCTCTTTTCAAAACATATGCATTGCACGGGGGCTAGCTGTATTTCTGTTTTGGCTTCAAGCTAAATAAACATTTGCCGAGATGAAATATCTCCTGACCTATATATTTTCGATCCCTCTCCTTTTTTTCTCTTTCCTTTTCTTCAAAACAACGCCGCCGGCTTTAAACGGATTAAATGACGCTACCCGTTCGCGCCTCGGGCGTATATTTTTTTTCCCGAATATTTTAGCTAACCGCGAGACAAACGAAAAAAAGCACTCACTTTTATACATTCATATATATATATATATATATATATATATATATATATATATATATATATATATATATATATATATATAAGTATATACATAAATATATATACATATCAACATACATGCATGTATATATATATACTGTATATATATATATATATATAGATATATATATATATATAGATATATATATATGTAGATGTATATACATACAATTGTTTTTCGTTATAAGGCATTTATCACACAATGGAAGCTAGAATTTGTTACGTTTTATGTTGATTCGCTTTTGGGCGTTAAGTTGAAGGTGACGTCGCTTGATGACGTAATTGGTTGCGTAACCGGTAGGTAGATAAGCGCCGGTAGGAACGTGTCATCCGACGTCATCGCTTCGGCCTTAAACGGCTGCATGACGTAATTGTTTTCAGTTAGTGCCTTCGAAGCATGGGCCTTGTGTTCCGACCCTGCAAAAAAATACTTTTTCATAAAGGCCTTTTTATTAATATGATTATTTTGAAATTAATTATATATTTTATATATTGAATGTTAATAAAACTTACTTATGTGCTGTTGGCATAGGGCTCTAGTTGGGAACTTTTGCGAACAGTGCACGCATCGGAACTTTTTCTTTTTCATGGACTTGGACGAAATCTGCGAGGAGGCTTCTTCACTCTCCGAACGCCAATCGTCAGCCTCAACCTTAGCCTTTTTAGGTGGGCCTGCATCTTCGTCATTTGAATCACCAACCGATTCACTTTTATTTTGTGAATGGTCTCGTAGAACATGCATCTGCAGCGCCCCCTGGCTAGTAAAGACGTGACCACACATTTGACACTTTCGCATCATGGCATCGCTTTGTACGAAGGCAGGAAGAGACAGCTTATTATCCGACATCAAGTTGAGCGGAAGTGATGTAGCTAAAGAGGACGGCGGCGGTTGAATATCGGGTTGGGAGGAACCCACACCCCCTTTTTCCTTTTTAATCATATATGATACGTACTCCTCAATAGTTATGCCATGCTTATTCTGCATATGCGTACGAAGAAAGTATTTATTACAAACTTCTTTCTGGCATAATTCGCACATGACTCTTTGCGAGTGTAGAGGCTCCTTCCATTTCCATTGATTATTCTCTCCACCGTTTAGAATTGATAAGGGATCGAAAGGCGACATACACATCTCCTGTGACAGTAAACCTGGAGGTGTTGCCGCTGCTGATGCGGAGAGATGTGACAGAGCCGAAATATTCGCTAAATTCGGTACGTTCAGAGGAGATGATTGTCGAGATGTTGCTGACGATGAGGGGGGTTGTGACGGAGGAGGAGAATTTTTGTTTCTTGTAAATTCATCTTTCTTTTCTCCTATTCCATGTATCTTGAGCTTATGTGTTTTTAGGAAGTATTTAGAACAAAATTCCTTCTTACATATTTCGCAATAAGCTTCCGGGTCTATACCCATTTTCAAAAGTTCGTCATCACCAGGTTTTGGTAGGTTTGCACCGGCTTCTTCTTTTTGAACATCAACTGCCTGTTCGATGTTGTTATTATTATTCTTTTGCGGATTAGTAATTAAAGTTGGCGTAGTTGATTCATCCTTCTTTGGAGATGGACTATCTGAAGGCGTTTCGACGCCGTGTACCTTGAGCTTATGAGTCCGTAAAAAGTACTTGTTACAAACGTCTTTATTACATATGTCGCAGATGACTCGTTCCGCATTTCTCGCGGCTATCATATTTCCAAGCATAGTGTTTGCTAAATGCGTCGGCTGTTGTTGGTCGGTCAATTCGTCTTCCTTTTTTTCGGACGGTTTGATTCCGTGTACGTTGATTAAATGAACTTTAAGATTATACTTATTGGAAAATTCCTTTTTGCAATATTCACAATAATCATCGGTGGCATTTGTCAGAGGTGGAGTAACTGATGATGCAGTAGAGACGGCCGATGATGATGACGCTGCTGTTGTCGTGGCTGTAGTAGTTGTTGTTATTGTCGATGTTTTCTTTTCACCCAATTCCATTTCACCATTCATCCCGTTCAATTGCTGCGCCGCTTGCATGAATGAGTGAAGCATTTCTGGTGAAGGAGCGTCGAAATGATTACCACTTCGATTTCCGACTAGGTCGTCGACGTAAATACCGTGCTTGTTGGCTTTGTGAATTTTCAAGAAATACTTGTTGCAGAACTCTTTTCGGCATATTTCGCAATAAGCATCGGCGTTTAGAACGCCCATTGACCGAAGAGCGTCATTGGGTATGGAAGGTTTTGGCGTGCTAACTGTACTGGTCGAAGCCGTGGAAAACTTGAAATCGGTTGACAACTGCGGCGGAATTCCTGAGAGAGACGGTAGACCCGTTTGTGTTTGAAAGGGTAAGGGTTGACCGGGTAAAAGGGCAACCGGAGACGCAAATGGATTAATGAACATCAAGTTTGGACTGAGTCCTGGCGGAAACGACTGGCCGGAGGGGGGTGGATTGAGTCCATTGGAAGGCGGAATTAGTGAAGTTGGAACGTTGGAATTTTTCGGAGACGCATTCGTCGTTACTGATCTCGACCTTTTATGGTAAGAAGGTGGCGTTTCCGGTATGATACCGTGAACGTCTTGCTTGTGCTTCCTCAAGTAATACTTATTGCAAAAGTGCTTTTGACAGATATCGCAGTAGTCTTCCATATCTTTCGGCACGCTTTTCGGCTCATCTTTTGGACTGGGGGGTGTAGTTGGCGGTGGAAGTCCCACTAAGCTGGGGGCAGGCGGTGGCAAAGGAGGCAAATTGGAGATCGGTTCCGGTTCTGGACTAGGTTTCTCCGACACTTCAGAAGGCGCTGCAGGTGGAGAAGTTTCGATACTATCCAGTATACCGTGTCTTGTTGCCAAATGAGTCTTTAGGAAGTATTTATTACAAAATTCTCTACGACACCGTTCACAATAAGCCTCCTTATTGAAAATCTTTCCTTCTGTAACTTCTTGACCTTCTTCTGGAGGTACAGTATCCTCTATTTCTTCATCTCCTTCAGCAGTTGTTGTTGTTTCCTCCTCAATAGATTCAACCATATCGAAGGCCTGTTGGTTAATTTCGCTTCCCAACTGATGGTACTTTGTTGGAAAGGAGGACGCAAGTTGTTGTTGCTGTGTTGCTTGTGGTTTTTCATTGTCTGCTATTTCATCAGGGTCGCTAAGACTATGCGATACTGGTCGTTGCCTCTGAAGTTCATGTTGACTCCGAACATGATCATTCAGGATAGTTTGACTATCGAAAATACTTTCGCACAGCTGGCAGGCGAAAGACGATACGGATATGGGGGCGGCGTCGGCGGCGGTGGCGGCAGCAGCAGCAGCAGCAGCGGCGGCGTTGTTCCTCTCTTCCTCTAATTTCACAGCGTTCTCTGAAACTCTGGAAGGCTTCGATTGTTTTCGTTTTCGAGACGACTTGGCAAAGTCCAAATTGGGTAATCCCCACTCCTGATGCGCAACTTGCGTCATAATTTTTTCGTTGTAATGAAACCTGTAAGAAAAATCGACAAAGCGTGAACTTTCAACTCGACATAAATGCACTATATCACTCGTTTATGTGTAATGCTAGAAAAGAACTGCACGAGAGAATAAAGCACGAAGTTTACACAGTGAAAATCTGAAAAATAAACATAAAACTGGACAGACTAACAAAAGTAAGCGTCAGACTAGTGGTGATTTACATAAGCGTCACAAGTTTCTCTTTACCCGATTTATTATTTGTTAGAAAGTCATTAAAAAAATTTTTTTTTTTATTTTTTTTTTTTTGTTTAAAAAAAAATCAGAGAACATCATATCGGATCATGCATTGATCTCTTCTTCACACAATTTTTCAACTGGCATTTAGAAAAGCTACAATGGGCCTTATTGCTATTTACAATCGGTTCAATGCAATCTATTCACGCCATTCAAATGAAAATTTTTTCAAGCTCTCCGCCACAGTCAGCATTAAACTTCTAGTATTGTGTCGGCTATTTTTAATAAGCCATAGAAGCTTGTCAACAAATCTATAAACGAAGCGGGCACGGCTCAAATGCGCGTTTTAACTTGTTTTTATAATTCAATTCATCTTTCGAAATCTAACCCGCCGCAACTTATACATAAATCAATCGATAAAAAACGTGTATGATTACACGGAACGTTCATGTTCCATATGATAATTCTCACAATCGATTGTGAACTTGTCACCAAGCGCTGATCGAACTCATCGATTTTTAAAATTCTCTCCCTTTCTTTTATTTTGAATTGTCGATCGTATTTGTTCATTTCCATATAACGTCAAATATATATATGTGTATAGACTATATCTGTCTATGAATATAGATACATTCTAATAACTCGAAAATCTTAACTTTAAGATTAAATAGACGTTGTTAATTTTCTTCAAGTTACATATGTACAAAATACATTGACATAAAGATATTAACATGATTATAACATAATCTGACATCTGATAACGTCCGATTTAATACGGTTTTAACAAAAAGGAAAATGATTAGGAATGTTATACGTCGGGGTAAGATGTAAAGAATCCCACCTGTTGACACTAATTGCCTCGCACCTGTTCATGTAATCTACGCAATCTCTTAAAGGGCGGTGATTTTTCAAAAAGAAAAAAAAAAAAGAAAAATCTATTCTAGCGAAGCCGCTGTCTAAATACAATATAATGACTAATCTACTCAATTCAATTAAAATTCTTACTATCCTTAAGAAATATTTACATGTACAGAATTGAAAAATACCTATATTCTGTCTAAGCAGAGTAATTCCAGACTAATCTATAATATTTATCTATCTTTTAAATTATAGCATATTACATGCATATAGTCAAATGTTTTAATACAATTACGGACATAAATTAACAAATAATTTGAGTTTTTTCATGAATATTCAATAGCTTTATTTGTATAGATGAGTCCACTGTATATTTATGTATTTATCTCACTGATTGTATAAATATTATTGGTCGTCTTTGAAAAACTTGAAATAATTAGGTCACAGTTTGTACATACCTATAACAAAAGAGTTTATATAAAAAATATACACTGTATATCGGTCAGTGGTTGACCAATGAGTAGGCCTGATATTTATACTGCACCAAGATATACAACTTCATAAGACGTATAGAAGTGGAAAAAAATAGAAAATTGTACTTGGTTGCATATTCCTTTATCCTCAGCCAAACGTCTTATTTAAAACTAAAGGCTGTTTCTTGAGTACTCCTTAATTTACATTTGTTTCTATAGGCTGTCTTATAGTTACAACTGCGCTTCATAAATAAATATTCTATCCACATATAAAGACACAAATATATACAATTGAATAACAAGTAAAAGATAATTTTATGATACCTTATTACATTTCTTTGATGATGGATAGATTCAAAAAGATTATTCTTAGCAGTTTCAAAATATTCTTATAAAAATGAATTACAGAGAAAGAGTTGAAATTTACCTATGAAAAGTTTAAGGTGCGTATCTATGCGGATCGAAGTTGACTATTAAAGTCGCCAGCACAATAAAAGCGACCAGATAAAGATTAATACGGATTTAAATTCAACCGGATTGAATAAATCACGTGACAATTATCACGTGATAAATTCGAATAAAAAGTCTTAAATCTTTTTCATTCGAAAAGCGATATATTTCTTATAGTTCTGACATTCCAAAGCTGTTTTTCAAATCAAAAACGTGACATATAAATTGTTGGATTGTTATTGCACTTTAAAAAATGCCCGATAATACACGTTTTTTAACGTAGTTAAGAATTCTTTCGGCCTATTAGCGAAAGGCGATCGAAACGTTGATAGTTATCTTTCCGCTATAATTGCATTATTAGAGAATGCAATAAAAAATGTGTCGTTTGCTTATGTACTATAAATGTGACAAATATATAAAAGTTTTTTATATTATATATATATATATATATATATATATATTATGGTAAAGTATATATAGAATTATATTTATATTTATATTCATATTTATAGAACATAAACTGCAAGTCTGAAAGGAGGCAAAAAACCCAATAAACTGCCCTCCTACTACGACAGAAAATTCACATTAAAAGGATCAAATTTAATCAGATTTCAAATTGAATTCCGTAAATTACGCTTATTGAGGCGGAAGGAAATGAAATTTAGGGCGAGTACTAAATTGGATTTGACTAGCCGCTTTTGTTGTCAACTGACAGCTGCATATTTCAATAGACGCCATTTTTAAACGCTTTTATATGCAATTTTAATAGGCATCTGTTGCTGAGTTGAGTGAGTGAAATACACACATAAACGATACCAGTATTCAAATCTTTTATCAAAGAGTACAAGTAGATCACTCAAAATTGAAAATAAAAGAAAAAATTGCCCTATAGTAATCTTCAATGCATAGTTAACTCGTAAATACCCGCGCCACGCGACGCCGGTCAGTCGGACAGTGAAAAAGACGTTCGGAGTGTGGCGCCCTCTTCAACGATATAAGAGTTAAGCGGCCAAAAACGAAACGAACACGTTTTTACAAAAGGAAAAGCTAAAAATAGATTTGAGAGGAAAAAGGAAAAACGAAAACACATTACCGAGAAATATTTAAACTTGTTGAATTTATTAAAATCATGCAGTTGAAAGAATAATACATATATAGTAATCTTTCCGAATATAGAAACGATAGAACACTTAACGAATTCCTGGAAAAACGACAAGAAATACAAACCGCTAACTTTTTTAATACAACGTTTAGAAGAACAACTTAAAACATGACTAGTAAAAATGAGTCGTCAACTGGTCGTCGTAAGTCCGACAATAGAAAACGTTGTATCCATGCAGTTCGAAATGAAAATGATGCTGAGAGTGTCTCTTTGAAACTAGCGGCCAATCATAACTGAGATATGCGTCTAAAATTGCAACGTCAACCAATCAGAGATCGCTTTACGGTCACGTGATCGACGCCATAGTCATAGTTGTCTGTTTGCTTTGTTAGACATCAGTCTGAATCCATCATTATCTATTATTATTATTATTTCATTAATTTTTATTACTATACGTTTTGTTTGCTGCTTTATATTATATATGTATGTGTTTATAGCAAGGGTCGTAGACTCGAAGGATGTGCTATTGACAAAGTTTTACGCTTGTTGACATTCGAATTGTTTACAAAGTCTAAACTAAATTTTCTACAGCGATAACATTAAAAAAATAAAAAAAGTTTGCTTTTTGATAAAGAAACACACGGACGAAGGCTCTAGACTAGTACAATAGATTACCGCGCGAGCGCGCAGCATTTTAAAAATTTAAAACATGCTTATAATTTACATAGAAAAATATGAGAAGAACAAAGGCGGAACCGACATGTGACACTTGAATAAATTATGAGCTCAAAATGGACTTTTGTTGACAATGAGTCATTTCTAATGAAATAAAAGCTTGAAATTATTAAGGCAGATGGTGCTGTTTTGGTTGCCAAGTGAAATGATAAGGTTGCTATGTACTTTCGACTAGCGTGTGAAACTAGCCAACACGTGCACGTATAGTCTCATACACATATGTATATGTAAAAAAATAAGTGGAATTATTTCTTAACCATACGCACGCATAGTTTTATTTAAAGACGCGCAGTACTATATATATATATATATATATAGATATAGATATATGTTTGTTTATTTCTCCAAATTATATTCTCTTTCACAAGTGTATTTTTATTCACTCATGCATACGTGCGCACACACAAATATATATATATATATATATTTATATAATTTTTTATATGATGGGTGATACTTATATTTAGCCTTATATTTAGAACACAACAGTTATTACAAATACAATACGCCAATAGAGTTTGGTATAATTTTCTTTTTAATTCGTCACTTCACATAATACTCGTACATATCTTTAAGTAGTTTTCGCCCTAAAACATAAACCGGTCGTGTGATACGAGAGCCTCTATACTAAAATCGATACTCAACTGCCAACCATCGCCGTCAAAATTGCACAAAGCAATTGAATTTTGCACCACTGATCTTGTTTCTATGGTAACGAGCAATTTACAGACCTCAATTTGCAGCTAAAAACAGGAATCCATCAAACTGCATCATACTTCAGTGAAATTTTAGAACGTTTCCATTTGTAAACTAAACGTGTGCACGCAGTTTCTTTTTCTATAAACAACTCGACCGCGCATTTCTTTCTGCTATCTATCAAAAAAATCTCTGTATACTTCTTTTTTTTTTTCGGAAAAATAACGCGCCGCCTTTTTTTCGCGCCCAAAAATTTTCTTCGTCCTATTCAAATGCGACAAAGACGCCGGTAAACAATAATCAAAAGGAGAAAACTTCGCACCAGTCGATCGATACTCTAGAGCAAACACTTGCCACAAAAAGACACATTTTATGCCAGTCCACGCTTCAATTTGACAAAATGAAATTTCAACATTGACAATTCTATATAAATCTCTATCACGCTTGTTCGATACTTTTTTTTTCATAACAGTTATCGTTTCAGTGAAATTCTAATGCTTCAAGCAACTTATTTAATATAGGCGTATACTTTCTGATTTTATCCTTACCATTATAGCCTTAGGTAACTTCTAAATGTCGCTAATTGCTCACCTATCTTTTGTCTTGCTTTGTCCGTACGCGCCATTTTGACGTGTCTAAAGTTCCCGCTTTCCCAGCATGCACCATTAAATATGGCTGAAAGCTTACTTGAAAAAGTGGAGGGAATTTCCGCGAAATTCTAGTCAAAGAATTTAATTTTGGTAAGAATTTTTATAAAAATAGATGTTATATTAATATGTGTTGCTAAACGTAAAAGCCGATCGATGATCATTAATGTTAAGTTATGAAATTTTCAAGAAAATGTTTCTCTCATATCCCCTTTCTGACGGTTCTATATGTTCGCGTTCAACTTACTGAATTCTTTTTTAAAGAACACTACTAAACTATGATTTTCTTTTCTTTACAGCCATGAATAAAATAAGTGTAAGATTAGCTGATTCGACTAGTAGAACTGAGAATCAAATTTCTAGGAAACGATCAACTATGAATGAAGATGATCGAAAACGCGATTCGAGAAAGCGTAAAAGGGTAAGCGATTTTAGATTGAGTTGCTATATTTCAGTGGTATGGTAAAAATATCATTTTCCAACGGCTTTGTCTGAAACAGTTGCAATTTTCAACCCAATTTTCCGCAATCTGCTCTTTAATCTTATCGTATCCAAGACTGCAATTTGCATGTTAAGTGCATACTAACGGATAAAATTGTGACAGCGTCTAATTTCTTGTGTCTAGAGGGCGTTATTAAACGTCACTGAAAACTAATTAAGATTTATGTTTTCTTACTTACGTACATCTCTTAGAATCTTATGCGCATTTAATATGACAGGCAAATTAAATTGCAATAAAACAACAATTTTTCCTACTTTTATGTGTTCTGTATTAATCAAAAATATTATTCATTAAAAGATATAATTAACCGTATCTGATATTGACAATTTTTTACTATGAGTTTCACATGACAACTTTTGTCAATAGCTATTTACAAAGCAATTTTTATAATAACTATAATTTACGATTTTTCAAAATTATGCAATACTAACAGTTCTCTACTAACGTCATAGATATAAGTTTCTATTTTATTATTTAGAAATTGAATATAGATAGAACAAACGAAAAGGTCGCGCTAATTGCTCGCTATGATTGATGCTTGCGTATAGTGCAACGAATCACTTAAACTTCGTTATGAGCTTGTTTGTAATTGTATTTGGTTTTTTTTTTTCATTTTTTTTAAAAAAAATACTTTTAAAAAAAATTTTTTTTTTATTTTATTTATTTTTTATTTGTTCAAAATAAAAAAAAAGTTAAAAAAAAATAAAGAAAAAAAAAACTGTTCAGTAATTAATTCGTTCACACAATTATCTTAAATAGCTGTATATTTGCAAATGAATTACAATGGTAATTTTCGATTAAGTACTGGACTGATAATTATTCGACATAAAATTAATTCATTAGTAAAAAAATTCGTTGAGATTCAACCAAATTTTTTTTATTTCATTTTGTTTTTTTTTTTTTTTTTTTTTCGTTTTTCCTTTTTATTTTGTTTCATATTTGAAATGGTATGAGTCAACAAAAAAGTGTGTTTGTTTAGTGGTTTCTAATGTTGTTTCTAAAGATAAGTTTGAAAAAAATGAAAATGGGTTTTAAGTATAGATTTATAGAAAGCACTTTGAAGGTATCCTATAGTTATTTCGGATTTACTATTTACGAAGTAACGAAAGTGCTTTTATCATCAATGCGTATACGGTGTCTATCAATAACAAGAAGAAAAATGTTCTTGTTACCGCGTAGGCCTAAATAAATTTACCGGGAAATGAGGGGCAGTTATATAAATAAGGCAATTGCGCCTATAAGCGAGATGGAATAAGAAAAGTATATGGCGTCCAGAACAAAAGGCTTTTGACAAGAAAATCAATGGTAGAAAAAACTGAGTTTTGCAACACGGAGAATTAGAAAAAGCTCGTATTTGAGATGTCCATCGTTGTTGCTAGGCAACGATGCGCTCTCAAAAATCTTTTCATAAATTGCGTCATTTTTATGCTACCGAACGGGCGGCGTTCGTTTTTAAAGGAAAAAGAAAAACGTCGGCGTTTTAAGCATGTTTTTTTTCATTTCCCCATCACAAATTATTGATGTATGCGACTCAAAGTTGAAGTGCGTGAAAAAGGAATTTTAATGATGAAATTCTTGAAATAAATGCCATGATCTGCAAAAACATTTCAAACGACAAATGCAGGCCAGGTGCGCGCCGTTACCATTCTGATAAGACATTAAATTACCTTTGATCTGCGGACGGTCTTAGATGTATGCATCCGCTGATAACGTTTCTATGAATATTTGTCGCATTGTAGCAGCGTGCGGTGGTCATTTGCACCCCGGAATTTTGTTTGTCGCCTCTTTCGATAAGATTAATCTTCTTTATTTTATACCCTTTCGACTTTTACAGATTCTTTTTCTTAAACAATCATTTCTCTTTGCCTTTTTATAAAATTAAACTTGACAATAAATGACCAATATCAAAACAAAAATTAATGCGTGAGCCATATACCTAATACCTAAAATAATATATACATAAATAAATACACTTACTATATATACGTATTATATAGGACTTTTATATTTAAATAATAAGAAATACATATTTATGAATATATATATTTATTTCTGTAAATGTGCATACAACTTAAATACATAGTTTACTTTTAGATATCTACATATATATGTATATATGTGTGTGATGTATACATGTACGTATCTATGTACATATGGTGTTAAAGGGGGCGGGTAAGTGTATGAAGAGATGAACAATAAAACAAGAATGACCACTAAAGCGAACTGTAGAGCACCTGTCATATTTTTTTCTTATAAAACTGTTGTCATAGCAACGAGAGAGGCCTTATCGGTGTGCTTTTCAAATTGATTGGTTCTCTTTGTAGATGAATGTAATTGCCTGCTACATGCCATTTTTTTCTTGCAGTGTTTTCGTATTAGTTGCGTTTATCAAATTTTCGCCGCATGTAAAAAAATTTCTTTTACTCATTTTTGGACGCAGAAGCCATCGAAATTGATTATGCAATAAATAAAGTTTATACGCGCGCGTCAGTTGCGTCATAGATCCGTTAATGACATAATACGCTTTGAACTCACGATGACCCTAATTAAGCAGGACTTAATGCGCATGTAGCGTCTGGTTGTTACTAGCCGTAATTACGACGTATGTTCGGCGGAGGCCGAAAATGTATATTTGAAAAGCGCTTTATAAATATAACAATTATGCATAATTGGGAAATTGAAAAATTACTAATCGCGACCAGTAGGTATACGTAAACGGAAGGGAGAGTATATGTATATATGGATATAAGTATACTTATGCATATAAAAATTTTACTTGTATGTATTTATAATTATATTTATAATGTATGTATAATTTTTTTGGCCTACAATCTTATACATATGTACATGCATGTGTTTTACATTCCGTTCGTTGCGGATGCAATAAAGTAATTTGCTTGCAGTTTGTAATTAGTTTGAATCACGTGACCGTGCACCTGTGGCCGACGTTCTGTGGCGTCCATTGAAAATGAATGTATCCATGGTAACAGTTTTGTTGAGTCTAATGGAAATCAAAGTATCTTTGACTGACCGTCTACTTATACACGCAATGACACGCGGAACACTTTTGTTCTCTGAAAAAGTTCCTTTGCTGTTCATTGAAGCGTGCCGTATACATGTCGGGAGACGTCGGCGTTCCTTAGTACGTACACACGCAGATCGAACGTTTTTATATACCTTGTTTCTTTCAATTTGACACGTTTTTATGTAGATGGTATTTATTTTTATTTTTCGGCTACTTCAGTTCTTCGTTAGTTTTACGTATTCTAAGACAAAAATTAAGTTGATATTCCCTATTCGATAACCAACGTATGAATGAACGTGTCCAAATTGGTCTAAATAGGACACGTAGAGCGTCGCCGGCAGCGGGACGTTAATTTTCATCCGAATTGTTAAAAATCAACAATTGACGAGTCGAAGGCGGAACTTCAAGGGCGTCAAATTAGCATGAGACGCCATCGAACGCCCATCGAACGGTTCGCGATCGATTGTGCAACAAATCGACTTGTCACGTGACTATTAGTGAAAAGTTTAAAGTTAATACGTCTTTGGCGTATAAGTAATCTATATAAACCATTATGATCTCACATGCAATATTTATATACATGAAAAAGTACATATCATAAATATGTACATATTTTTTTTCATAAATAAATACAATTTATACATTTATATAAATATCTATATATAACTATATATATATAAGATAGTTTATGTCTTTGTACATACATATATATATATAAATATATATATATATATAGAATATAAGAGAAGTATATGGGATATGAAGTTTGCTAATTACAAACTAGCTCGTGTTTACAGAACAAACTCATCATTCATACAGTAAAAAGAAAAGTTGGTAAGAAAATTGAAGTGTATGTTTCCATGGAAACTCTTTTGCCCGTCACACACGTTTTACGCCATTTTCCACATTTCACTTTGGCGCGTTTTTGTTGGGTGAAAGATGAGCGTCGGCTTCGTATTAAAACGAAACGTTTTTAATGAAAATGAGATTGTACCGAACGCTTTAAAAAAGCCCTCCTTTTCCTTCGATGATGTTTTACACTTGGCCGAACTTTCTCCTTTTATACCTTTGAATTATAATAATCTTGCCGCGATCACTTTGAACATAATAGAATTCTATAGGCAGTAGTTTATTCTTTGATTGTATTATGAGCAAATGAAAGAAAAACAATGAGTAATTGGCGAATAGACTTTGATGAATTTTCACTTATCCTTCAGGCATAACTTTGAAGAGACCAGTACACTTTTTTCTAACGATTATTCGTTATGTGTATTTGATTATGGTTTCTTGGGCTCGCCTGTCTTTTTTTATGTACCCTCTTAATAAATTTCATTTCTTTTTTCAGTCCTATTCTGTTGAATCCTCGTCAGATAATGGTAGTGACCTGGATTTAAACAAAGATTTAAAGCCGATCGAAGAATATGTGAAAGACAGGCAAGTTATGATAAAGGAAATGTTTGCAAGTGTATCTCGCGATAAACTAAGAGCTATGCTCCCAGAAATATTAAAGGTATATCAAACTTATATTTACTGTGTTGTATTATTAATAAGATTTGCGTATTAAACTACTTTTAGCCAATACCCATGAACGACTTGCAAAAGTTTTGTTGTGAAGAATTGGAAGTGATGTCAAGAAAGAGAATTATTAGAATTTTGCAAGGTAAGTCGAAATTTTGTATTGTTACTTGCTTTATCATCGCAAACGAGTCATCATTCGAAATAATCTGGTTGGAAATTGCTGTTTAATTAAGCTCAGAATACGCTTTACGACCCCGTTATATTGGTTTGGCAGCGTTCCGTATACGCGTAAAAATGACGACGTATTAATAAGTATTCTATTTCATGAATACTAGTCCGCCTTTGATCTTCACCAGCCATTATGAATCTGAATCCATTTTGCAGTAACGAAATTTTACCGACGCAGACTTTGCCCCTAAATTGCATTTTTGGCGCGTTTTAGTGCAAAAGTTATATGAGAGTGGTGTTTGCGTTATATTTTTAGTTTGTTTAGTTTTTTACCGCGTGTGCCTTTTAAGCGCGGCGTTCTTCTGACATTTCTCCTGGACAATCCTATTTTCGTCGACAATCTTATTACAATTCGCTATATGTATAATGTTTTTTTTTATTTTCTTTCTTTGTGCTCAGTCGCTATATATTTCGCTGAAAGACGCCACCGCTTAAATCAGGAGCGAATAGACGCCGCTCGAAGCTATAAGCAATCCATTATAATGTAATAATAAAGTTATCGATTAATATGTAATTGAATACAGACTACACAGTTTGCGTATAGCATATACGTTTCCTTTTGCTTGTGACGTTGTATTCGATAATAATACGCACGAAATCGACACAAAACTCGCATAGATTTTATCGATGAAATGACCGAGAGTGGGGCGTTTATATACTTTTTCTATACAGATATATATATTTATGCATATTTTATTTATATAAATATTTTCAAAAATATGAAAAAAATAATTTTCCCTATGATTAATAATTTTATATTTTTTAATTAGTTTTTTTGTTTTCTTTTCTCCCCCCTCCCTCTCTTTTCTCCTTTCTTTATCCGCTATAATTTATGATCTTATACGTGCGTGATTAAATGTAGAAAAAAAGGAAAGAGGAAAAATGCAAAATACTTTTATTCCATTTTTATTGCATCTAAAGAAAAAAGTAATATATGCACTATTTAATTTAGGTTGAATATGCCCTAAAATACATGTACTCAAGGAAATAGCTATAAAGAGTATAATGTTTATTTCTAATTATAGTATATTCTATTTTTCTATTTTCCACATTCTATTCATCAATATATCAATAGGAATAGATTTTAGAGAAAAGGAAAAGTTTTGAGATGTTTGCATATAAAATATGAAGGATCGAAGACGACCGCAATAGTCTGCGGATTTATATTACGATCCGAAATGGAATTGATTAGTAGACGTTTCTCGAAGGCATTGTTTACTCTTTAGCCAGCTAAACGTTCGGTTTTTTTCTGTATACGATTACCAAGCGGTTCGATATCGCTAATTTCTACAGAGTGCATAGAAAGTCTAAAGGCGTTCTTAAATCCGCAAAAAAACGAGATGAAATGTGTAATGTAAGTAGATGATAAAGTTTTTAACGTTCGAAAAAGAGGAGAAAAAGAAGTCTCTAATTACCAGCCGACACTAATTATGTTTTGTGTACTCTATGTGACTAAGTGCTCTCTCTCTGTCTCTCTCACTCTAGTAGAAATCGATAGAAATGAAATTTTTCAAGCTAGAAAAAAAAAGAATGAAAAAGTGCCCCGCTGAGCAGAAGAAATGATCCACAGGCGTCGCGTTTAAATCTCCGCCTGCATCATTACTATAATTTGCTGCATTGAAAAGCGACCTTTTCGAAAGAGACGAAGGCTAAACGAGTTGGACAGTGTAAGAATAGATTACAAAAGAGAGAGAAAAAATTGAAAGGTTTCGTTTGTCATTTTCGAACGCATAACTTTGTTTGGCTTCATCTTCCTAATACGGTCACAAATCAACTTAGGCTTTGTCTTCGCTCGTCGGCGTCGGAAAGGGAAAAGGCGAAAATCGTTTTGCCGAGACGCCTCCCCGAATTATGAATATAATCGAGTTATTTGACTGCGGGCGTCGAAACGGAAATGGCAATAAAACGGAAGTGACGTTTTGCTGTTATGTATGCGTTGAACGATGTAGTTTTATTGGTGGCATAATTGGGCGCATTTCCGTTAAGAAATAGTTTTTTTAAGTTTGTGGCTAGGAGATCTCAATGCAAAAATATCTAAGCGAAACGCATACTGACGAGAGTAGTTTGTAATGTTGATCATTTCGTGTACAGTGACATTTTGATGACATTCAACGCTGCATCTATATACTTTCCTTTAGATTTGCCTTTTATTTTCTAAAGTCCGTTCCTTATGAAAAAAGCACCTTTAAAAAAAGTATATTACTGTCTTATTGAGACGGAAAACAATTTAAAGAATTTTTTCTTAGCGCGTTGTTTAATTCAATTAGTGTTTGTTAAATAGTTTCTAAAGGTATTAAATTACGTAAGTAGAACCTATCGTCTATATGTGTGCACATATATAGAATTCACACGTGTCTTATATAATGGATTACTGGCAACCAATTTTTATACCATTATAAGCGTTGTTTGTCACTTTAATATCAGTTTTGTTTAGTTGATGTACGTTTTGTTCGAGGCGCGCGGATTGGCGACAGTTTTCTTACGTTTTCTGTAGAAAGGGAGAGCATTAACGTCGATTTGAAAAAGAGGCGTCGGATGGAAACAAGGGTGACGTCATGGAAAATCGAATGCAAACTTTATACAGTGTCAGATGACAAAATTGTGTTTGTGAGTTTATTAAAGGAAGCGAAAATGAATAATGAATCAAGGCGCCGAATCGTATACGCGCACATAGTCGTTTCTGGCTATAGCGAATTTGAAAAATGTCAAACGAAGGCGGTATAGTCGGTATTTCTTCTTTTTCCTCCGACTGCCGCGTCTATTCAATTTATTTGATGACCCACTAATGACCTTTTCCGTTACTATGGCAACATATTTAGATTAAAGTTTAGCGAGCGGCGGCTTGATGGATGGTGTTATCGGCTACTTTTTAGCTTAATCTCTAGCCGTTTGCTGCCAACTGATAACACGTACAAACTATTCATTCTCCTTTATTTTTTCTTTTATACTTTTATAATGAAACAACTTATAGATATTATATATATATATATATTTCTATAAATACTGGATTCATATATATATATATATATATATATAGTGAGTGTTTTTATATATTTATATATATTTATATATATGCGTCATATCCTTTATTCGTGCAGATGCTTTTCATTTACGCTTTTTTCGATTTTAACCAAAGTCTATTAAACGTGCAAAAAGAGAGTGCGACGTCGTTAATACGAGCCGCTTTTAAGTTTTTGTTGACTTTTCATTTGCATAATGGCGTTTTACGATTATAGGCTTTCTTATACGCGCGTCAAAGAACTACATTTGCGCCATCTGGCGTGTTACGTTGCCAATGGTCCTCTGGACCTTGTTTAATAAATTAATTGCATAATGTATCAGTTATCTATTGGTATTGTCATTAGCGTTGCTGTTGTTCCTTAATGCTATCAGTGCATTCAGTAGACGCTTGTTGACTAAATAGAAATATGGATGAATACATATTGTATATATATATATATAGATAAATAAATATAAATAATATATGTAGTAAATTTTATATATATAAATATATTTTTATAAATATGTATGCCGATAAATTTTATATAGATATATAATATGCTATACTGAACTTAATGAGATTCAAAGTTCGTTTCACAGTTCGTTTCTCAAAGCAAAACGAACAGGAAGTGCATCTCGTAAACAGTCTTTCTTCATCGCTGGTCACGTGATGAGAGCAATATCAGCGGTGATGGTTAACGAGATTTATAATTATACGACGACCGCGCCGCAAATGTACCGTCTCCAACCGCATGAACGATGCAAAATTATGTAATAAGAGAGACATTGTTGCGCAATTGTGTGCATTTTCCTTATAATTATTATTATGATTATTATTGATATGATTAGCAAGTCTATTAGCATAGACATTATAACAACTAATGCATTTTATTAATACGAATGTTATTATTTCTACGTATAAGAAAGACGTAAAAGCTATGTATTAAAGACGTAATTAAAATTTTAATAGCATTTACTTTTATTTTAATTTTCTATTATTGCGCCATCAGAGCCAATATATTTAGTTAATGATAATTTTCATCATTATTTTTATTATTGAAGATGTCCGTATAGGTGATTGTTGAAAAGTACGTAAGACCTTAATAACGAAGCGAAAAAAGCTTTTAAGTTGGAATAAAGAATGAATGTGCGTCATCACTTTGAAACGCTTTCAACTAATAGAATGCCACAATTATAGTAGAAGCATTAGACTACGACTGGCTGGAATTATTATGCGTTTATAAAAGTGCCATGAATTATTGAAAATGATAGCGCGATTGAGGGGAAGAGGAATGAAGTCGAAATGAGAATGGTATACAAACAAAACGAATGTTTGCTTGTTCTGTCCGTCGGGTGATAACGTTTGCTGTTTGTCTTGGTTGTTTGTCTTAGATCAACGTTTTTTTCCTTTTTAATTACGCCAAATATGCCGTGGTGGTTGGGAAAAGAGACGCTGGCCCCGGCTTTGATGATTACTCACTCGATTTGCATTGTAATTGAGTTTTGTTGCTGCGCTTCAGTCCGTTTTGTATATATTATGTATAAAGATTGAAGTGGCGGGTGCGAAAGCGGTGTTGAAACCAGCGTAATGAAAAGCATAATCGCCTAACTCCGCCGCGTATGCTAATAGAATTAAAAGCAGGTGCAGTCGGGCTTTTTTTTTACATAATTAAATTTGAACGATCGTTTTATGCAAATTCTCTCGTAGGAGCGCGTATTGTGGGCGGCGCTCATCTGCTAAATTGCAGTTGTCGCTTTGATGTAAGCGATAAGTTGTTGCAGTCGTTTTTTTTGTGGACAATGAGAAAAGTGTTGAAATGCCGTTGGCGTGCTAGAGCTCTCTTTTTACTTTGACAAATTGTGTTTTTGTCGAAGCATTTCAGTGTACTATGTGTTTGTGTATTGTACATTGATATACTTTATACTTTTAACAAATTGAAAAGTTGCACTCGACTACAGAAATACTTTGAAGATGTACTTGGTAGATATTCCTTGACTGGGAAAAGGGCATGTGATAGACATTTTCGCCAGTCATCGATTAGACGCTTTTCAAACGTGAAAATCTTATTGATCTGTACAAGTGGTCAAATGTTGCACACCTGTCGCTCACCTCGCCGCCGCCGTTGTGTATATATAAACAGATATATATATATATATATATATATATATATATAAATTTATATATATATATTTATACATATATATATATATATGACATATATATATATATTTATATAATGTTTTTTTGTCTATAAATGCGGGTTCCTGTTTAGTGTTTTCAGTGTAATTACTTTATTATACAATTAACGAGGCGGATAGAGGCGGATGCGAATCGTCTATTACGCAAACATCGTTTAAAACATTTGCTTGACGCGTAGAAGCTTTGAAAGTGAATTATAGATGAGGGCATTCTCTTTCTAATGTTTTAGGTCGATTTTTGAAGAGCGCGCCTTCGCATCGATCCAACTTGTCGCCGGCGTTCGATATCGTTAAAAATCGAAGGCAGTTGAGAGAATATCGACGTAAGACGTAAAAGAAATGTTTGTTTCGTTGAGATCGAATTGTTTGAAATTGGAATTTTCTACTGCGCTATATACATATCGACTGACGCCGTCGATTGATTTTGTTGCTGGACGCAAGCGTTTCTTATATAGTATATTATAATGTATAAGCGTCTTATGATACACAGTTATAAAATATGCAGAGATAGAAGACAAACCAAAAAAAGATTGTCATGACGACTAATTAGAAAACGAAATGAGGTTTCGACACAATACTCGTCTAATTATGCACTTTGGACTTGCCCGTCTCTCGACGCGGCCAGTCCGTTAACTAATTACTTATTACTCATTAGCCTACTTTTTCGTCTCTCTAATTTGAAAAGGAATCGGCGAGGTCGGTTAATTAGACAAACTAGCCTCAATATTCGTATAAGGCCACGCGCAGAAATATATTAATTGATTGATCTTTTCAGATCAAAAAAGCTTGTAAAGAATTTGCGTGATGCGATGTATCTGATTCGAATATAAGCGCACGCGTAATATTCTTCTTCAGATAAATAAAGGAAAGAGTTTAAGAAAAAATGAAGAATGCGCGCATAAATACGACATTATCTGCAGCGATCTATCATCGGACTGCGTACGATTTTTGCAGTAGAGGCTTTGGACGTCTGCAAACACTAGCACGGCTCAAATTGTTCCATATTTATGGAAAGCTGCGCAAATAGAACTAGTTTTCAAATGTCAAAAGTTTGCTGATAAACTCCTCTCGTATTTTTTCCCAATACGCTGGTGCGCGCTTATGAAATTGCAGTTGTCAACTGGCTATTGCCGTATAAAATATCGATTTGAGCCTGCCAACTGCACTCGCATTTCGTAATAAGCTATATCTTAATCGACTAGGAGCGAGACGCGAGCGCCGTATAATTATAATATACAAGACGATATATATTTTTTATTTTCTTTTGAAATTCTCTCTTTTTTTTCCAACATTTATATTTACTTCCAACTTTTGTAGCCTTGTGACTGATTGTATTATATTATGTTCATTATGTATTTATGTAGTATAATTTATACATGTGTAAATATAAATTAGTATAGTTTTAGTTTGTATATAAATGTATATATATATATATATATAAATTCACGCATATATATATATATATATATATATATTCTTTTTTATTTATTTATATATATATATTGAGAAACGACTTGCCGTCGGCCGTCAGTTTTTGCGGGTGAGATTGAGTTTAAAATGAATGTGAAAGAGTTACCATGGTGATCAATCTATTTTGTAATTTGTTGCCGCCACTGCAACGCCGCTGCATTTTTTTTCCATTTTCCAGTTTTGACCGCCCCATTTTGATATATTAACAAAATTAACGTGCTATCTGCCGGTCGTAATTAAGATTTCTAGAGAAGTTCCGTATATCTGTTGCGCTGCCTCGGGCCATAAAAGTTCATTCTCTCAATTAGCGCGTGGGCCATAATTCATCAAGAAATTTCTTTTTTCTTTTTTTGTTTATTTCACGGACCCATCGAATAAAACGTTATGATGCGCCTATCGAATTAATTTGATAAATGTCGAATTTATTCTGCTTTAAGAAGGCAGTAAGTGTGAATGATGGGCGTTCGTTAAAGAGAAATAGAATATAGGAGTTAGAAGAAAAACGAGATTGGAATGAAAGCGGCGTAATCGCATTGTGTAAATCATTTTAATGCCACATTCGAACGACGCTATATGTACTTTTTCTTGTATAATTTTTTTTCTTCTTTCTATCCTTCTTTATATAACTTTATATTAGTTTTCCATACTATAGCATAAGTTTATTACGGAACACTTAATAGCCACTGACAAGTCGGGTATTTGCCTTTAACATATCGGTTCAGGCATAGACTATAGTTAGAAACGAGAGGTGGCGCCAAACAACGATATTCCTATCACGGTTCATAATTAGACAGAACATACAATTTGGCATCTTTGTGTTAATGAGGCGAACGTAAAAGAATAGAACGGTTGAAAGGGAGTGCGACCTTGCGGAAAACGTCTCGCACGCAAAAAGAAAAGAAAACACTTGGACTATCAAGATGCGAAATTAATTTAACGTGTATTCAGAAAAAAAAACAATATATTTACATATATTTGTATTACATCTTTTGTTCTTAATAGAAACGGGACGTTTGTATTAAAGATCGGTTAACTCGAACGTACATAATCGAAACACGCACGAATTGAAAAGATAATGAAGGGAAAGCGGTTAGGTGCATGTAATGATTTTGGCATTCAACTGCAAGTGATTTACGATCCGCAATAAAAAGCGAAGGCCTATTTAAGAGCAGCAATATCGCCATAGACACCACTCGCCTCTGCATCCTTCAAAATATGATTGTGCGTTACCATGGTGATCTCATGCAGCGCACCGCTCTGTCCAAAGGTCATACTGCAAAATTTTGTTGCGGCGCCGACGCTTTTTAACTTCGATTTTTGCGCGCACGACGACGTCGTCGACGACGTCGACGGGCGCGTAAAGATCGATTGAAAAGAATATTTTATATATGTACGCATTTGTATAAGAAGAGGGAGAAGGAAAATTCGATATAGCCTCTTTTGAGAATCGAGTGGGTTTTGAAAAACGGGCGCCATATCGATTTTTGGCATGTAATGACTAGTTTAGAATGCCTAATGACGTCGTTGGAAATGACGCCTTTCAGGCTGTTGCTCGCCACTATATACAATCGTGCATTCAAAATTCATATTAAACGAACATCGAACGTCGCCTTTGAAAAACGGTTTTGTTCGCGATTGTTTTGAATGCCTGCATAATTTATGCGTTTTGAAAATGTATCGACGACCCGTTCGTTCTGCTCGCATAAAAAAGAACAAAGCCCGAAACGTTGCAACGCAATATAAGCGAAAGGATGAAATGAGTTTTGAGATAAACGACCGACATAAAATGGTGATTTGAGTGTGTCAAAGCTATTTTACTCAAACAATCGCTGCCCATCTTGCGTTTCCCCGGCAACCGATTGCCCCGCTCCTCTCCTCGTGTCATCTTGTCTTTCTCAGAGCTCATTATTTTTTGTTTTCAAAAATCTATATCTGTATATAATAATATATACCACTTGTACACGCACATAAGCGCACATTTTTTGTTTATTTATTTATTTATATATACAGTATATATTCCACTTACACTTACGAGCATATATATATATATA